CCTTAAGGGCTTTGTAGCAGACAACTCTCACCAGTTGTGGGTGGGCAATGCAGGTCTTTCCCCACCCTCACCTCTAGGGAAGCTGCCCCAGAGAACCATGGGCGTTAGAGGTCATCTGGCCTGCCCTCTCTCCCCCTCCCCTTTAGGGGCAGGGTCCCCTGGTGCATCTCGGGGGCGTTTCTAGCCAGCGTTAGATTGCACATGGCTAGCAAAAACAAAACATCCTCTTTCCTGGCAGGGAGGACAGGATGTCCTCGATTTACGACCACAGTGGCGCCCAACCATTTCTGTGGGCGAAAGCGACAAAAAAACGTGTTCAGCGCATTTTGCCCCGTTTTGCGACATTTCCTTGCCAGGGTTGGGAAGTGGATCGCTGAGGTTGTTAAGATATTGACAGCGTTGTTAAGTGGATCTTGAGTTTCTCCTATTGACTTTGCTCGTCAGAAGGTCGCAAAAAAAGGGATCGCACACGACCCTGGGAAACCACAGCTGCCATAAATATGAGTCGGTGGCCAAGCGCCTGAATTTTGATCTCCTGACCAGGGGAATGCTGCAATGGTCGTAATGGTGGAAAAACGGCCATAAGTCACTTTTTTTCAGTTACGGTTCTAACTTTGTATGGTCACTAAATGAATTGTTGTAAGTCAAGGACTACCTGTAGGATATTCCACTGGACAGTAACTCCTGGTGTTAGAAAAAGTTGGAAAAATTGCTGCCCTGAATTGGTACAAATGCGTGGAAGCACCAGCTACTGTGGTGTGATTATGTCATGCAAATAGTTTTATGCTTATCCCAACGGAGCTTTTTCCAGGAGGCCACTGGACTTTCTTGGTTTTTCTTTTGAAGACGTTTCGCTTCTCATCCAAGAAGCTTCTTCAGCTCTGACTGGATGGTGGGGAAGGGAAGGATTTCTACTCCTTGCAGACAGCTGGTCATTTGCATCCTTTTAGAGGGTCGTTGAGGCCACTTGGAGGTTTATCTGTGTCCTCAGGATCACCTGAGTAGTTAGTGCAAATGGTTCCTGTATCTAATTTTTCCTCTGGAAATCCATTCCTTCTCCCACACGATTCCAAGGTGTTCATCCCAAATTCTATAGCTAAAAGTCAGTCCTCCAGGTCAATTTTGTCCCAAAAGTGCTTTTTTCAGGAGGTAACTGGACTTCCTTGTTTTTTTCTTTTGAAGACATTTCACTTCTCCTCCAAGAAGCTTCTTCGGCTCTGGCTGGATTGAGGGGAATAGAAGGATTTATATTCCTTGCAAGACAGCTGGTCATTTGCATCCTTTTAGAGGGTCACTGAGGCCACTTGGATGTTTATCTGTGTTCTCAGGGTCACCTGAGTAGTACAAATGGTGTCCTGCAGCCTGCAATTTTTCCTCTGGAAATCCATTCCTGCTCCCAACACCATTTCAAGAGGGTTCATCCCAAGTTGTATAGCTAAGTCTGTAGAGATCCTCCAGGTCGTGGTTGTTCCAAAGGTGCTTTTTCAGGAGGCAACTGGACTTTCTATGTTTTTTTCTTTTGAAGACATTTCACTTCTCCTCCAAGAATCTTCTTCAGCTCTGACTGGATAGTGGAGAAATGGAAAGATTTATACTCCTTGCAGACAGCTGGTCATTTGCATCCTTTTGGAGGGTCCTTGAGGCCACTTGGAGGTTTATCTGTGTCCTCAGGGGTCACCTGAATAGCGCTAAAAGAGCAAGGCAGACTACAGGAACCATTAGCATTACGTAGCACCCGGAGGCGGCCAGTTCTGGACATGGATGTCCACTGCTTCATTTCTTTTCAATGTCCTCTGGAACTCTAGAATGTGACCAAAGGGGAGCTCCCATCTCAACTAATGGCAAAGGTGTAGCAACATCTGCAGCGATTCACTTAACAACTGTGGCACGAAAGGTTGCAAAAGTGGGGCAAACACACTTAACTGTCTCGCCCAGCCACAGGAATTTTGGGCTCAGTGGTGGTTGTAAGTCAAGGACTAACTGTATCAGCAACGTACTTTTTGAGAGCGGTTTCTCAAACCTGAACTCGGTGTTCGATTTATATAATTTGTATAGTTCTCTCTGCATTTGTATTCAATGTGTCCATAAACATTTTGTACAGTTGTACATGTTCGTATATGTGCAGTCACACTTATCTTTGTGTGCTCGTGTACATACATTTTGTTGTGTTTTCCATTGACACATTCATGGATGTCTTGCATATTTGCATACATATATTTATATTTTACTGTTGTTTTGCACTTTGGGTTGGATGCTAACTGCATTTCCTTGCCTGTATTCATGGCACTGACAATAAAGTTGAATCTAATCTTCTCTTATCTAATATGCAGACCCGAAGAATTCATAGAATGTGAGGCTCCTGTGG